AAAAAAACAGTACAAGATCTTCTAATGTGAATGAAATCCCTGTGTTTCATACCACAGATCACTGCAGCTTCCTCTTTGTAATTCCCGTACCAAATGAGAGATTAACAATAGACTATGAGATCCAGGAACAGTATTGAGATTTCTCTCAGACTATTTCTGCGAAGTCCAATGTCACTGATGAACATTAGTGCATTTAGCACATACTTTTCTCGTACTTATCAAAAATGCTTGCCCCTCTTCTGAACACTCCTTCCAATCGGAGCAACAGTAACTTGTTTTCTGCGTATCACTTTTCGGCTCGGTGGAAAAGTCGCTAGATTTTGCAGTTGCAGGTTGACAGAATAAACTGCTAAACTGCACGCGAGCCAAAAAATTTAAGGCACAATAATCTGCGCTCGACAGGAAACAGAAAAAGCTGCGATAAGAAAATACGAATTCTATGACTAGTAAATGCCTCGTTTTTTAGAGGGTAAAATACAGACTGAAATAATAGCGAAATGGATGGATGCACAGCGGATAATCGCCATAACCAATACGCTCATGAATCTTTTCGAAAAGTATTTGACAAAAAAAAAGCACTGCTATACTGTTGCAAACCACACCGTGGCCGCATCATTTATGAAGCAGCTACGAAACGCTTAAGTAATTCTTTCTAAGTTCCTCAAGAAAAAGTGAATAATTCTGTAGTCCGCAGCAAAAAAGTTTTACGACGCTATAAAAACACAGTTTTTTTTTTTTTCAGCGTAAATGATAAAATTTAAAACTAAGAAGACAGAGCGAGCAAACTGTGATGCGATACAGCCTATATTGCAACAAATGATCACTTCAGAAATATTGCTGATATTCAGGATTTGTAAAAGTGAATCCTTCGAATTCCGATTGATCCAGGTTCATCAGGAACAGCCGATCAATAGGCGTTAGCAGTGGCGCTTCTTGAGTGAACTCATTGTCAAAATTTGACAAATCTGTATTGCTTTTCTAAACAGAACCTTCAAATTAGAAACTGCCTCACGAGCAAAGTTTACACAGAAAGTAAAATTTACAGTGCTAATAAGAATTGCGGATGGGGCGTCTGATGGGGACGATTTGGAATCGTATCCAACGTTCAAAACAATCGTGAACACCGATATTGCGCCTACCACATCACCAGTCCATGATGCTAACATTCCCAGTGGAAGTCGAAACAAATTGTTTGCGTCTCATCCACCTCTGCGAAAATAACATTTCTGAAGCGACACATCTAATATGTCAACACCAAACTGCCGAAGGATGCTTCGCAGCA